ACCAAAATTCATCAAAATTAACCATCAAATCGATATAATCATAGATTAAAAGTCTAAAAATACTTTATTCATCCATCAACTACATGAATTCAAATGTCCATACCAACTCTTTAATCAAACATCAAAATAAGTTCACTTAGGTTTTTCACAAGAACTCACAGGCAATCCAAGATCTACAAGATTAGTTTGATTGATGAAATTAATTATACATATAGGCATTTAAGACATCTAATTAATAGAGCATTGAAAAATCATATGGAAGAAAAAAACATGTTACAAGTCACAATTGGGATTTCTCCCTTTCATACAACACATGCAATAGAAAAGAGGTTGAGGATCAATCTCATTACCCAACAATTATCCAACATTTAAAGTGAGACTATTCACTCCCCCTTACCCTGTTTAGCATTGGGTGTAGAATGCAAGTCTCTAGAATGATCTCTGTAGCCTCTTATTCTCTTGGTTCTTTAGAGTGTAAAAATGTGAAATGAAAGCGTAAGAAGAAAACTAACATATTCCCTTTAATTTAAAAACTGATTCAACCTCTCTTTAACCCAACCGATAATTACTCACACTAACTCAGTTTACACTTTCCCTTCCCTCAAGATAATAATAATAATAATAATAATGATAATAATAATAATAATAAACATTATATTATATTTTAATCCTCGTATAATTAATTAAATAAGTATCAAAATATTTAATTATCAAAACGCTCTATAAAACCAATCTCTTCAATTTTATAATAAAACATGTATAATTAATTTAATTGTGAAAGCATAGGTTATTACACAATCAACTTAACTCAGCATGAAACTGTCTCATATACAACTTAACTCTTAAAATTCCTTGACAGAGTTAAAAAATGACTCACTAACAACTAATAACAATCAATTATACAATTAATCATATAATTAACCAAATAAATCAAAAAGACCCCGTGTTACAAAAATTAATAATATTATCTTTTGATAAAAAAAATAAAAAATATTTTAGAAATGAGTCTTGAAAAAAATAATGATTATATTTTATAGCTTTTGAAATGAGACTTTTGGACAGAGTTTGTAAGAATATAAAAAAAATAACTTTTAAGTTATAAAATCTTAAAAATATATATATAATTATCAATATAAAACATTATTTTAAGGGACTTAAAATAAAGACTTTGTTAGCCGACCCTGGTCAGTCAATTTTATTTTATCAATATATATATATATATATAAATTGCCCTTACCCTGCCACCGATACCTGTCGAGAATAAAATCTGGGTATTCATCCTCGTTCCCGCCGGTTCGAGTTCCCTACCCCCGCCCTCGCTCTTACCTTCTTTTTTTTTTCTTTTAAATAAATATGAAATTTTTTTAAAAATAAATAAATAAAAGAAAAATAAAATAATACAAATTTTTACATAAAATATTTTTAATATTGGTTTATATATATATAAATAATTTTTTAATTATATTATTAAGCGGGGCGGGGTAGGGTCAGGTACGGGGGCGAGGACGTGCAGGTATTAACATTTTCGTCCCCACCCCTGTCTCTGATTTAACAATCGGAAAAAATCCAAACCCAAACTCAAACTCAATAAACACGAGTTTTTTCCGCCCAAATCAAGACGGGTTTGGATAAATACCTATAGAGATGAGTTAGATTGTCATGCATATATATATATATATATATAATAGCGTAACTAAGAAAAAAAACATTAGTTAGACTTCGAATTTCTTAAATGTCAATTGTTTTTGAGACAAAAGATAAAGACTTAAAGAACCGGAGATTTTTCTTTTGGTACACAAAAAGCACGTTCAAGTGAGTTGGATCCTAGAGTGTAAAGGATTAGGAATTTAAGATGGAGGGAGTACAAAATATACATAGAAACTAATTGTTATTAAAAATTTATTTTCCTTTTTATTAGAAAAATATTAAATAACGGTCTAATGACACCGGTTAACAAATAAAAGATTTTTTTTTTTATTAAATAATGTTTGTGATGCATATTTTATTGAATAATGTAACAAAACACTTTCTCGTTTAACTTTAATATTCTTTTCTAATAAAAAAAACTATACATATGTATTTGAGAATTTAAAAATAAAAATAAATATAAAGTAATAACATGTTCCAATTAATTTTGTGCAACAAACGTTTCCTCCATCAACCTTTATATTTACAAAAAAAAAAAAAATAAGTAAAGACAAATAGCATATGAATTTAAAAGTTAAATTCAAATTAAGATGAAATATGTATAAAATGTTCGTCATTAAAACTCATTATTATCCAATTTTTTCAAATCAGGCGATCAAGATATTCATTTAAAGTTCAATGATCCGTTATAGTCAAATTAATATTAAAATAATAATAATAATAATAATAATAATAATAATAATTAAATAATACATAAATATAATATCTTAATTTTATAAGACTAAAATGTAAGGAAAGATGATTTATATATTTTTAATATTTAAAATACATGTAAAAGTGTAAATATAAAATTCAAAGTTGAATTATTTAGTCAATACCTAAGTTTGATCCTTCATGAAAATAATTATTAATTAAATTTTATTTATTTTTTGACTGAATTAGGTTAGCCTAAAAATAAAATATTAGGACATTAATACAAAACTAAAAAATATATAAATATAATATTTAAGTTTAAATTTTAATAATATATAACTATATATTATATTTAAAGTAGAAAAATCTGAAAACAATATAATATGAAATGTAAAACATCTTATGTGGTGTTTCTGTGGCGTTTCTTGGAGGATGCAGTGCCCTCTACTGCTCCTTACAAAAAAAAAAGTCTTTTGCTGAGGCACAGTCACTTCACGACCGACTCAACGACATAAAATTCGTGTTTTAAGTTTTTTTTTTTTCAAAAATATTTTATATTAATATTTATATAATTTTTCAAAAATTTTATAACTGAAAAATCACATTTTATGTTTTTAAAAATTCACTTTAAAATAATATAAAATAATAAAAAATAATTATTTTTTTCGAGATATATCTTTAAAATATTTTTATCTTTTACTAAAAATGTTATTAAATTTTAAGAAAAAACTCACTTTAACATTTACTTTAATCTAATTATATGTGAATCAACGTTGAGTCAATTGCGAGTGCCATGTTTGAAGCCTGAAGAGGAGTACAAGGCATTTTGCATGGGCGATTCATCTATATATCTAAGGGTTTGTCTCTGCCTAGGTTTTCTGACTTATGTTCCAAGCTAAGTAAACTTTGGAAGCTTCGTGGTCTCTATGGGTAGGGGCTTTTCTTGAATTATCTTTCTCTTCTAATATTGAGGATTTTCGTGGAACCCTAACCATGAAATCTTGCAGCTTTCTTCATGGACTCTTTGCATTTTCATGAATGTTGTAACTCCATTAGGAGATTTTCTGTTGATGTGGATGATGAAAGAACTACTTTTTTATGTTTTCCACTTGATCCTTGAGATTCTTAGTATATATATTATGTATGCATAATGTCCATGTTAGATATATGCATGAAAAAATCTAAGGTAGACGATTTATCTGATGTGCTTTGTCGAGGTAGTACCAATATATGATCTGTTGAGTTGTTATAGTGGACAAGATTTGTCCTTCAACTACTGAACGCTTTGGGTTGTATATATTTTCTTTTAGACTTGAGTGTTTTTAGTTTGTTATAGCTTAAGTTATGATAGTTTAGTGGTTAAGTATGAAATGACTATATACTTGTTGTGTAGTGATTGATTTAGAATACTTTGTGCATTATTTGAGGAACATTGGTAATTTGTTTGATTTTAATGTTATTTTTATTGTTTATGTTGAATTATTAATTTCGATGCTTGATTATGCAAATTACATATATGTGAATTTCTTTTTGGAGTTTCTGTTTGTATTACAAATTTTTGGTTTCAGCAAAAAAAAAAAAAAAATACTATCTCTGCTATTAATTATAAATAATAAATTAATTTCTTTTATTCTAATTATAAACAACAATCATTAATTTTTAAAATTATTATAATGTAAATTTATTTTATACCTTTTAATTAATTGTCAACACTATTTCTTATGTGTTCACTTATAATTAACATTAAATATAATAATTATAAAAAATAAAGAGTATTTTTATAATAAAATTTAAATTTATGAAGAGTTAATCAAAAGCAATTAACTTAATTATTTTTCTTTGATTTGATGATTTATTTTATGTTATTTATAATTTATAATTAAGATCGAAAGTAGTATTGTAAAACCTCAGTAGCTCAATGTTTCTTTTTAGCTTTAATTGACGTAAAAATTATATCATTTCTATATAGGTTCAAGCCACAATCACAGTAGAACTTAACTATTTCTATGTTGGTAAAAAATTGCCGTAGAAATTATGAAGTTTCCATGTTGACCCCAATTACCAACATAGTAATTCATTTTAACCGACTTTAAATTTTCCTTCTCTATTAGTAACTAGTCATAAGGGTTTTGGCAGCAGTTTGACACTCAGGGAAGATGTTACTTTATCTATAAATGAAAAGTTTTTTTTTAATTACTTTTAGTCTTCATTTTTTAATAAAATTATTTTATCCTTTAAAACTTCTTTAAACAATATATAAGGCAATTTATTTATACCTAAAATTTTGTTTTCAAGTTTTAGTCTTTTAAAATCTTTGAATAACTACAATTTATATTTTTATTGTAAATGAAAAGTTTTCACTACTCACAAATTGAATAACTACGTAAATTTTATAGATTGAAATAATATACCAAACTTGTGATGGTATTGAAGTAATAAAATAAAATGAGACATTTCTGGTTAAATTTGTTCATGGTTTTATAATGTGAAAATTTAATATTTATCATTCTCTTCAAATATATTGAATCTGTGAAAGAATAAATTGGTAAATACTTATAAAGCGAAAAAAAAAAGAAGCACAGTTTTCATATTACAAAGTAATCTAAATAATTAAAAAGTTAACATCGATAATTAATTACAAGCAAACTGAGATTCAGCTTACATAATTGCTTACTCACTACAAAGAAATGTTATTATAGGTACAAATAAAAGTGTCACTATAAGTACAATATATATAAGTATATATTTATTTGACATATAATTGTGCATAATTTTAGTATTAATTAAATAAAATTTAACATATTTTGTGTGTTACTATAATCCATATTTACTTTTTAACAAATACTAACATATATGGTATTCATTATGTAGATAAAAGTAATTTTTAGTAACATATATTATGTCACTATAAAATGTGTATCACCATATGATAATTTTTTTAATAATGACTTAGGACTTTCAATTTTAAAATAATAGTCTAGAATTGACAAGGGAGCACCATTTCTTAAGGATAAAAAGTCACTGCATACTTATCTAACAAAGGGTAAGATGAAGCACTCCGCCATAAGCATCTGGAAGAAGAAAACAAACTAAATAAAGTATCTTAAACAGAAGCTAAGAGCATGTGCTGTATTAATGTGCATAATATATGACATCAAAAAGCCTAATTTGGATTTAGTTTATAGGAGATTTTAAATTATAAAATTCCATTATTAATTAAAATAATTCTAAACAAAATTTGCTGAACTATGATTACTTGGAGAGAAGCTAAACGAAGGAACTTTTAAAAATCAAGATGATATTCATTTTAACTTGTGGAAAAAATAACTTCATCCTACCTCAAGATATTTTATTTTAAATGAGTATTGTGAGGGGGTTAGTAAGAGACTACGGACTGTATTTTAGTATGTTAATCTGAAATGTTAAGTGTCGTGGTATTTACTGCTCCATATCTTCTCTATTTTTCACTTTCAATATCCACAAAACCATCTTTTTAAATTCTAAGGAGCAACTGCTCATTAGTTTTTCTTCTTTTAAGCAGAGTAGCTTCCAAGAAGTAGAGGTTGTGAAAAGGAAGTTGAATGAGTTGAATTTCTGTCAAAATACTTCTCATCATAGTTAATGGGTTATTTTTAATTTTGAAATTTATTTTTCTCTCTCTTTAACTTTTATTAGTGTCATTACACTATAAAAAAAATTATTATGCAATGACACAACTCTATAATGACAAAATATCTACCATTGGACACAACTTTTACCTACACTATAGATATAATATATGTTAATATATTATTAAAAGGTGTATGTATATGTTATAGTGATACACAATATATATTGTTAAATCTCATTCAAAATTAATATTAGAATTGTATGTAGTTATGTGTCAAATAAATTTATATTTACATATATTTTGTCTATAGTGATATTTTTTTTATATGTCACTATATATAACATTTTTAATAGTGTTATCTAATTTTGAGCTCATACAATTTTCTTTAGAACCTTATATATTAAATGAGATGAAGATTTGTTAACCTTACATTTTATTTTGTAAACTCCTAAAATAAATAATTCAATATTCAAAATTAGATGTTGATAACATTGAAAGTCACAAAGAAAAGAAATATGTCATATCAAGCTCAATCTTAGGTATGAGAATATGTTAGGTTAGGCTAAACATTAAATATACAGGCTAGACTTATTCTATAAAATTAAAATTAAAATTTGACTTATTATCTATGATAGATGTTTTTATAGGTCTAAATTGACTTTTTTAAAAGCTTGGTATAACTTGTTAACTTATTTAAAAGCCTATTTTACATTAATAATAATAAATAAATCAATAAATTTAATGTTTAATAACTCGACAATTATATTTTTAGATATACATGTGAGTCTTTTTTTTTTCACGATGAAAAAATAATTTACTCGATTATTATTAAATTTTAGAGTTTAAAATAAATAAAAAAATAAATAAGGATCAATTCATGCATATTCATGTATGCTGTAACAGCCCAAAATTATTGGGCCAGAGGCCCAATTGATTGCCCGGAATGGGCCGTTTCAAAAGTGAAACGGGCCGTTCCGGAATAAGAAAAATGCCCAAAATGGGAGAAGCAGAACGGGCCGTTCTGGTGGGAGAACGGGTCGTTCTGCTGGGATTGAGAACAGACCGTTCTGCTTTTGGAACGGGCCGTTCCAGTTGAGAATTTTGCGTAGTTTTGAAGGGTCCAGAACGGCCGTTCCACTTTTGAAACGAGCCGTTTCAGTAGGTGAGCCTGAAATCCTATAAATAGCGCCCCTCACCTCTCATTTTCACACATCTCTCATTCTCTCTTCTTATTCTCTGTTGTTCTCTCTTCTTTTCCTTTTCTTTTCTCTGAAGACCAAGGGGCATTTAGAGGAGGAGACCAAAAGATTCCTGTTTTAGTTCAACTACTGTTTATCCAGGTACTGGGGAAAAGGGAATTATTTATATGTAGAGTTACATGAGGGAATTGGATAGAGGAAGAGCCCTTAAGATTATGATTAATTTTATAATTATTTCTGTTTGAAGAATTATTAGTCTTATTTGATTCTGTATGTATTTAGGAATATGGATATATGATCAATTTGTAAAAATGATGCTCTGGGAGAGAGAACGAAATTATAGAAAAGTGCCTGTAAGTTAGGTTGTGAAAAATTGGATGATTTCTGTTTGAGGAATTGATGATCCCATTAGATTCTGTATATGATGAGGATTATAAATATGCCAATAATTTGTAAGAATGATGATCTGGGAGAGAGAACGAAATTGTAGAAAAGTGTCTGTGAGCTAGGTTTTGGAACAATTAGGGGTTTTACTATTTATGTTAAGATTGTATTAAATTGATAATTCCATTGATTATCATATTAACTTATGATTGTTATTGCTATATTACTTGATAAAATTGATGACTTAGATGTGAATTGCTTGAGATGTATGAAACTCATTATGTTGGACTTATCTGATGCATGTATGGAATTGAACTATGAGATGCTGTGTGGAATGTGAATGAGATGTGATTGTGGTTCTTCACACCTATGACCAGGGGTGAGCACGGCCCGGGATTATTACATGGGTATCGTGAACTTGGTTAACATGTCAGGGCTGAGCACGGCCCTGGGTTAGGGGTAACGTGACCTTGGCACAGTGTTATATCAGGGGTGAGCACGGTCCGGGTATGTTACATGAGTATCGTGACCTTGGTTAACATGTCAGGGGTGAGCACGGCCCTAGGTTAGGGGTAACGTGACCTTGGCACAGTGTTATATCAGGGGTGAGCATGGCTCTGGATTGTTACGTGGGTATCGTGACCTTGAATAACATGTCGGGGGTGAGCACGACCCTGGGCTAGATATGCTACAGGGGAATCGTGACCTTGGCACAGTGTTATATCAGGGGTGAGCACGGCCTTGGATTGTTAATTGGGTAGCGTGACCTTGGCATAGTATGAAGTGCAAGATTTGTGATGAATGGTGTGATTGAGAATTATGACGTGATGACGATGCATGATTGATTGAAATATGACATGTTGAAATATTTATGAATATTAAGCTATAATGTGATAATATGTTATGTTTTCTTATGTGATATATATATATATGTTTTCTTTTCTCACCGTATAACTTGTGGATGTTTTAGGTGAGGAAGATCCGGGCTATGAGTGACATCTAGAATGTCAACAGTTGATTTATGGGTACACTCTGATATTGTGACATCGGGGCAGAGGATTTCTAAGACATGAATTGTATTTGTATATGGAGTTGAACCTATTAATTTGAAAACATTTTGTAACCTCTTATGTTTTATTCTCCAACTTTCATTTTCAGACTATTTTAGATATTGAAGAATGTTTCTAAAGGTTTTTATGTGAATCCGTTTACCTATGTGGAAAATTTTATTTTCTTAGTTTATTTATATTATTACAATATATGTGTTGGGGTAGTAAGGGTGTCACATATGCTAATATACACTCACGCACAAGTTGTAATAAAAGAAGATAATCTTATCAAAAAAATTTAAATATTCCCTATATCCCATTTGAAATATTCTAAATAACCATCCATGAAGATGAAAGGAAAAAAGCAAGTGAATATACAATTGCTAGAGTTTCAATTTTGATTTCTTGATTTCATATGAATGAAGAATGTAGAACGTTTAAGTGTATTGGAAATGTCAAAATGTTGATATAATTTTATTTTTTGTATTACAAATTTATTTATTTAATTATATTGTTAATAATATCATATGTATATTATGTTTTTTATACTTTCATATATATAAATAGACTAACCTATTAGGCCTAATAAATTTTTTATAAGTCTAAGCTCAGCTTTTTAAAATAAATAGGCTTTTGTAAAAGCCTAAACCTAACACTTTTATTAAATAAGTCAAGTCAAATCAGACTTTAAATAGGTGACCATTGACCCCTTGTTTAAGGTTTGACATATTCTCATTCCTAGCCATAGTTGATCAACCATTAATATTATAGTTTCATTCTCATTAAAACAAATTAAATAAAGTATGCACATTTTCATTTCTTAGAGACAAAATGTATAATATTCAGATTAGAGAGAAAGGTAATATAATTTAAGTATTTTAAGAGGAAGAAGTGAAATTTACCTAGATATATGTATGTAGTTGTGTGTGTGCGAGCGCATGTGCGTGTTTTGTGTATTATTTGTTTATATTCTATAAGGTTTGGTTGTGAGAAATGGTTAGTGATGAGATAACTCTGAAGTTAAGTTATATGGTTATAACTTAAGAAATGTTAAAGTTAGAAAATAAAACATTAAAGTTAATACAAAATATAAAAAGTGAAACATAATAAATTTCATTTTAATAAAATTAAGTTAGAGAAACAAACAAGAGAGAAGGGTTATGGGAAAACTAAGATTTACCCTTCTTCATCTAATCATTCTGTAGACCCGAGATTTTTCCAAACTAGAGATTGGAGTCTTAGATAGTTGACAAAAGATTGTTATAGTTGAGACATTTTCAAGTGAAGTTGAAAAAGACTAGGTGCAAAGGTTTTGGGATACTTCTCGTTTTCTTCGATCTTAACTTATCGGAAGCACGATTGAAGCAAGGAAAGTTTGAATGATGTTTCTCCTTGTTAGGATATTTATCATGTTAACCTTAGGCCAATTTGATGGTTGGATCATGAGGTTTTTTGGATTTATCCTTGTTAAGGGTTTTGGATATTTTGGTCTTGCTTTAGGGTGAATGATTTTTTTATTTAAATGTGGATGCATGTGTCATCTAATGAATGTTTAGGTGAATTAGAGTTGAGTCTGATTGTTTTAAGTGTTTCGAAGTTTTTTGGATCACTAAAGAGCCCTACATGTGTAATGTTCATGGCTTTCTTGCTTAGTGTGATATATGATTTTTGCTCAACGAGCCTTCCTAGGATGAAGGTCTAGGTTCAAAAGGATGAGTTAAGCAAAAATGATGAACAACTTGAATTTTGGCTCAGTGAACCAGTGTTTGCTAAGCCATGAACTTGTATGGGCTTTATGACCCATGGTTTCACTTAGTCAAACTTGTTGG